GGGAAATTGAATAAGAAGTCATTCAAAACACATTTTGTTGACATATTTTAGAGATTTTATGTATTTTTTTATATTTTGTCTCACATTGCGTTAGAGCAGTGCAAACACAAATCGGTATAGGCCTATTATTTCTTTCTTTTGCGTTAGTTGAACTGATGGTTAATGTTTTAACAGAAACATGTACCGGTATCCGAAATTAAAATTTACTGTATACGTATGTATCCGCTGTCTAAAATTATTTATTTTGAATCGTCATTTTGGCAACCTGATTTTTGATTTACAAAGAGAAGGACGCTCATTGTCGGAATTACGCCATTATGAAAAAAACATTAAGAAGATGGCCAAATTGGACTCAAACTTCCTATATAACTGTAAAAAGATTGGAGTTTACCGCGCATAAATTGGTATATACAATGATGAATAATTTAAGCGCAATTGAGAGTATGTCTTAATTAATAGAATTGGGACACAAATCTAATGACTTAAACACGTATGGGGCACCCAATATTTAACACTTAAATTCACACCGTCAGTCGAATTGCTCCTGGGCCTTCAATTCAGCAAGTTGAGTCAATAGAGGCAGTGTTTTTCTAGTTTTAACCTTTATTCATTAAATAATTTTATAGTTTAGAATCACTGTATTTGATATATTGAAACTGTCGTCTTCATTTCTACGTCGACGAATATTAACTCGAAATTTTACTCTGTTTGGAGTCGTGATCACAAATTGACTGAACGCTGGAACGCAAGTCACAGCCCTGTGAGGTAAAGATCACGAAACATCACAGCGGGCTTGCTATATGGGCCTAACATTGTAAAACCTCCTGTGTCATCAATAAGTAACAGCTAGATGTAATAACGCGGAAAAAAGAGATACCCGGATGTAGATTCACATTGAGACCACATATCGGTATTCGTATGGACATTATACGCGCCATTATAAAATGTATACGATCCCTCAATTGAAATGATCGAAGGGCCAAAGTTCAAGAAGGTCTGTCAGCTGAATGTTGCTAAAAATAACATAAATTATATGATAATGTATGTTAGTCATTGGATATATGGTCGTTTACATTAAACCACATGAGATTAATGTTGCGGAGAGGAAACCACTAAACCATTCTCTTTCTCAACGAACGGAAGCGACGTAACATAGTTTTGAGTGACAATTACTATTTTACTGTTTTCTTCAGCTCTAAAAATAGATGACGATAGCGTTGTTTTTTATGTTGTTGTTGTTGATGATGATAATAATGATGATGATGGTGTGTTGTTTATGATGGTGATTTGATGTTGATAATGAGGTTGATGGCTTGATGATGACGATAATGATGATGACGATAATGATGGTGTTGTTGGTGGTAATGATGATAAAAATTATAATGATGATGTTGATGATAATGATGATTACCGGTACTAGTCAATACTATAGATCTTTAAATGAATTGTTTTCCGATTATTGTTAGGCCTATTGGTCCTATTCATAGGCACATCCCTATTTGTACCACTGCCCTATCTATAGACACATCCCTGTTTGGCATCATTGTCCAATCCATAGACATATCCCTACTTGGCACTGCGCCCATTGGCACATCCCTGTTTGGAACAACTGCCCTATCCATAGGCAAATCCCTGTTTGGAACCACTGCCCTATCCATAGGCACATCCCTGTTTGGAACCACTACCCAATCCATAGGCACAACATCCCAGTTTGGAACCACTGTCGTATCCATAGCCAAATCCCTGTTTGGCACAACTGCCCTACCCATAGACACATCCCTACTTGACACTGTCACCACTGGCACATTCCTGTTTGGAACCACTGTTCTATCCATAGGCACATCCCTGTTTGTAACCATTGTCTTATCCATAGGCACATCACTGTTTGGCACCACTGCCCTATCTATATGCACATCTCTGTTTGGAACCACTGCCCTATTCATATAAGCACATCTCTGCTTGGCATCATTACCTTATCCATTGGCACATCCCTGTTTAGCATTATTGTCCTATCCATAGGCACATTCAGTTCTTGTTTTGAACCACTGCCCTATCCATAGGCAAATCCTTTTTTACATCATTGCACTATCCATAGGCAAATCCCTGTGTGGCACTATTGCCCTATCCCTGGCTCCCTGGCACATCACTGTTTGGAATCATTATTAGCCTGTCCGATGGGAAGTTAAGTCCTCACCACGCTCGCCCCGCCCTCCAAGCACTGCTTAGAATCCTACTCAGTCCTATTACTGTTTGGCATACATAGACACACTTGATTAGGCCTACTTAATATATAGTGGGGTCAAAATGTGTCGTTCAATCTCTTTGCAATCGGTGTTTGTCGCATCCATCAAATACAAATTTCTGCTCATATCAAAACAGCGGTACCCGATATGCATTTGTTGACGTTTTTATCTTTTTTTTAATCTTTAAGTAGTTGAAATTGAAATGAACATCTAGGTCTAGGTACGGTATTGTATGGAATAAGATACACACAGAGCTTTTCATATATTATATATATATATAATATATATATATATATATATA